ATTTTTCAATTGTTTCTCTGTGTTGAAATGTAAAATATATGCAGGAGAAAGGGGAACGAAAGAAAAATTAGCGTAATTCAAACATTGTATAATTTATTAGTCACGCGATTATTGAGAGATAGTTTGTGCTTGTGCTAAATTGTGCTTCATTATTTGTTTCTTCATATACAGGGTGTCCCAAAAATGTTGTAACTCCTTGAAAGAGGTGATTCTGGAGGTGATTTGAAACAACTTTTTCCTTAGCGAAAATGTTGTCCGAGGCTTCGTTGAGGAGATATTAACGGAAAACACTGACCAATCAGAGCGCGCGGATACCGTTGGAGCGGCCGCTACGAGCGAAGGCTACGAGCTAAGCGGCTGCGTGAATAGCCTTCGATGCACGTTGAGTCATTTGTTCGCGTACAAGCGCAGCCGCTTCAGCTCGTAGCCTTCGCTCGTAGTGGCCGCTCCGCCGGTATCCGCGCGCTCTGATTGGTCAGTGTTTTCCGTTAATATCTCCTCAACGAAGCCTCGGACAACATTTTCGCTAAGGAAAAAGTTGTTTCAAATCACCTCCCGAATCACCTCTTTCAAGGAGTTACAACATTTTTGGGACACCCTGTATATATTTACTACGCATACATCGTTATCAGGTTTAAGCCTTACATGCAAGGTATAAATATTCATAAACTACGTAAATATTCATTAATCACGTGCAGATTCGCGTGAAGATCGTAGAATTCACTTATAATTAAATGTAAACAAAAACATTTCTTATAGTAATTATAACATAATAATTTTGTATAACATAATAAAAGTTAATTTCAAAATCGTGGGTTCGAATTCACGTGCCTTATTTTTCGTTTGGACTCCTACATAAAATACGTGCACTACACACCGTTCGTAACTGTAAGAGCTAATCGCAACGTTCGACGAGAATACAAACAACCAAAATCACTGCTGTGTTATTTTATTTGTGTCATTGGAATATGAGAAATATGTCGAAGAATGAAACAGGTTGCGCACCACTGCGATACGGGGGTTAACAAGAACGCGGCGTTGTACTGCCAATGTCATAATCAGGTGCCACGAAAGAAATCCCGTATCTTCCGTCCATCGTGTGTTTGCATATTTACATGTAGGCTAATATCTTGCTCGCGGTCCAAGTTTCTCACCACGTGGCGTGTGCGTTCCGTGCGAAGGGTTGCACTGGTTCGCGCGTGACCAGTCCTAAGCCGCTAATTATCGTCGCGTATTGACCCTGGGAGAGCTGCAGCGAACGATAAGAGGCAACAACCGGGGCAAGTTAATCGGGGCCAATGGGATCGCAAACGGGGGAACGTAAGGAAAGGAAAGGAGTCAAGGCGAGGCCGCCAGTCATTGCACTCGTTAGAATTCGTTCTGTCGATGGAAAGGTACACATTTATCACCAGAATGCGGATTTTTATGCGTCTATGGTAAGTGAACATATGGGGAAATCTATGAAAACGTTCAGAAACGAGAGATTGTATAAAATATCAACGATAATATACAATACGCGTTAAATCGTTTAGAAAATAGGACAAACTTTTATTTAAGCTTACATTCTTCTTCTGTATCTGTGAAAATATGGATTTGGATAAACATCTGCAATCTATATATATATCACGAACGTGTAGCCACTGTATCCTATAATGTGTTAGTTGCAAATGTAGGAACATAATACAATAGTAATAGAATTATACAAACAGTGATAGTAATAAAGTTACACAAAAGTGACAATAACGAAATGGTACATGTGACGGTAATAAAATTATATAAATAACGAAAATAATAAAATAACAAAAACGTAAAAATGATATCACTAATAAAATTTTTATTTTGCATTCAGCTTAGGGAAGCATTCGTTTCACGAGGAATATAAAGCGGTTTCTTTGGTCGATTGGACTACAGATAAGATCCGTGTTGTTTCATAGTTTGCGCTGAAGAGTTACGTAATTAACGGACCGGAGCTGACATTTATTTTAACTCGTGAATCGTGGCAGCACGTAACGTCTGCGTTTGCAGAAGAAATTAGCCTCACATTGAAGACAGTAGAGCATAACTGGCTGTCATTTGGAAAGTTAGGTCAACAATACGAATCAAGTACATACAACATAGAATTCCAGTCGTGTATTATTTAACGTAGCTGCTAACACATTACTTCATAGATCACCATCGCAGAAGAAGGCTTTCAATGGTAAATAGATTTCTTCGGAATGTATAGAATTAACGTGTTCTCAATTGAACGTATTATTTCACAATTCTAGTGCGATTATTGATACGTAGAATGTAATCTGTTAGATTAATTGGAACGAGTGAATTGAAATTTGTAATCACTCTACTTTGATTACATTCAGTTCGATCGAAGAGCTAGAGTATATCCTTGAATGCATCGAGAATACTGTTCTAAAGCATACTCGGTTCCATTGACTGCACTTAGGTATTTCTTGAACTGTAGAAAACACGAGAGTTCTTTGATCTGTAAAACCTTCTAGTGGAATTGAATTCTTTTTTAGGTCATTAGTTATTATAAAAGTATCGAATTCGTCGTCGTCTTTCTTTGAGAGATTGTACATTTTTATACATTTATTTAATATTCTTTTATTATATTGTAATTTAATTTGTTGTTGTATATTTTTGTTACATTCCATTTTATTTATTAAACAAGGAAAATCCGTTATTTCGCATAAACTATGCAATACATATAAATTATAGAAATATAAAACTGCTAGTAACAACAGCGATAATAAAAATCTCTTTTTTTTTTTTTAAAGGGTCGACAAATATAGGTAGAAAGCCTCGTAAATTCTCCTTTTTGCAATCAAAGAAATTCTTGATTTAGTCCATTGAATAAACTCGATTCTCGATGACGAAGTAAACCGTAGGTTGCGGCCAGCGGGAGCAAGAGCAACTTCCTGTAATAACAATTACTCATCCAACATGATAAACGTCCCGCTTGATCATTTGTAACGAGCTTCTCGTACGTTGCTTTCTTCTTCAAACTTGCGACGAAAGAGACTTTCCTATTTATACGTTGACTCTGACGTGGTCGTTTTAGTGCAAACTGAACAACTTTTACGTTTACGATCCGGTCGTAACTCTTTGCCGGAAATATCATCTGTGTTCCACGATTACCTAATCGCGGTTCGTGAATTACTGCGCATACCTATCAAGATTGACTTTTAACGATGCTCAAAAGTCTTTTGATGATCGGATAATTTCATAAACTGTTTATCAAAAACATGTTTGCTATTCATTTTATTTTACTTCATTTCACATCATTTCGTTCAATTTTTATACAATTTAATGTGAATCGTGATGTCGTTTAGATTCACCACAATTACTTTATTGTTGAAATTTCAATGCGCTCTTTAAATATATTTCATTAATTTTGTTATTCGAAAAGTGCTTCTTAAATGGAAATTGGCTCATATGATTTATAATTGAATCAAAGAACAATCAAGTAAAGTTTTGTTAAAATTGTAAGTGAAGATATGGGAGAATCTATGAAAATATTCATAAACGAGAGAAAATATAAAATATCAACAATAATATACAATACGCGTTAAATCGTTTAGAAAATAGGACAAACTTTTATTTAAGCTTACATTCTTCTTCTGTATCTGTGAAAATATGGATTTGGATAAACATCTGCAATCTATATATATATATATATCACAAACGTAGCCACTGTATCCTGTAGTGTGTTAGAAAAATTCGAATTGGTTCCATGAAGTATTACCATGTTTGGAGTGAAAATTTCTACCAAATTTCAAGCGAAGTTTTATTAAGATCCTTCATTAAATAAATCCACGGAACAGCCACTTTAATATACGTTACCTCGCGATGCACGACTACCGTCTTCAAACATTGTATCTCGATGAATTGATGAAAATTAATTTCGATCGTCGTCCATGTTTGCGCGCCGCCGAGTGAAAAGATCGTCGATGAAATGTGTACGGGTGGATTAAAGGGATAACCCCCAGGCAGATCGAATATTCATCCCGTTAACGGCTCTCGATGCAGACGAGGTCTCACAGAGAGTGTCGAGTGTCGTCTTTACACTCGACTCTACTCCGTTGCAAATTACTTTCCCACGTGTTCGGCCGTGCTGGATATCACATCATAAAGTCGTTGCTGCATTCAAGTACGAAAGTGTTCGAATCACTCTTGGCGCCCAATGCCATTGAAACAGCAACAAAATATTGCAGTGGATACCTTTATCCCTTTACACTATGAGCTCACCTCCAATGTGACGATAATATTTTTTCCAAGAATTTTTAAATCGCCTCTGACGTGACACTTTGTACAGTTAATGAAACTAATTAAGGTGAAAACACCAGTAGTTGTCACGTTGAGATGGACTGCGAGATTTGGAGAAATGACTAGAAGGTTTTTTCTCGAGTAATGTTAATTTCGTAGATTTATTTGTCTTCATCTTGCAATTTCTCGTGCTTCTCTGCTTTGCTTGACGAGGTAAAAATTGTAGACGTGCGAAACACCGAAGTAACGTGATACTGAAATATATGTACAATAGATATGGTTTAATAGTTGGCATGCAATTGATTACTGGATATGGAGCGTCGACTACTAAAATTTGTTTAGTAATTTGTTTAATAATTTGTTTCAGTAGTTAAAAGAACAGTTCGTATATAAAATTCTCCGAGACGCGTATTCCTAAATAGTAATTCATTCATTCTCAGTGGTCAGTTCAATACGATTCAAATTCATACGGTTATAATTACCAAGTCACTGGTTATGATGCCAGGTCAACGAGCTTACCTTCTTAATTTTTTTCGTACGAATTTAACAGACAGACGCAATGTTAATCGATTGTACATTCTAAACTTTAGGCTCTAGACTCTAAATTCTAAATTCTAGACTTGTTAGTCTAGAAATGTTTCGCAAAAATGTTTCAGGTGAAAGTTGTTTAGGTGGCGAAACTTTTATTTTTCCCAAGGGACAAGAGATTTAATAACAGATTTAATTTGCTGTTGCAGGTCACAAGAGAGCGGTAAGCGATCTTCCTAGGAAAGCCAGAAGAGTTGCCCCGCGTCTGGCGAAAAGATGCCGCTTCCAAAGCGACTGGTGGAGCCAGTGCTGGTCGCACGCGGCACCATACCCGAGGACTTCCCGTTGCCGTCAGAGTTAGAGGCTGTGACCAATGGAACCTTGGCCAACACCATCAGGCAACTGTCCAGTCTGTCGAGGCACGCCGAGGATTTGTTCGGCGAGCTTGCGAGGGAGGCTCACGGATTGAGCGACAGGGCGAACTCCTTGCAAGCCAGGATAGATCGGTTAGCCGTGAAAGTTACTCAACTCGACAGCAACGTGGAGGAAGGTTCGTTGGCTAATTGATTATCTAACGAGACGCGTTCATTTTCAACTACTATAACTTGAAATAGGTGGTTTTCTAAGGACACACTTTCTCTCAAGGTAGTAGTCGTTTCCAGCTAGTCACGTTGAAAAGTGTTATTTGAAAGTTTCGTTAAAGTACAGTCTTACTGTTTCTCGTAATACTCGAGAAATGATTGTGTGAATTCTTTCAAGTAACGTAATCTAGTCGTGAGGATTCAAAAATTAAGACGTTTCATCCTCGATCTGCTAGTTGACTATTCTAACAGATTGTGCTGTAGATAGATCTACCAGTAGAAGAAAACTGTCGACGTATGGCCGATTTTTAATCTCATTTTTAATTTTGATGCAATAATCTACATATAGGGACTACGGTATTGTCTCGAAATAAGCAACTCGGTCAGGATTGACGAGTTGCTTATTTCGAGGCAGAAAGTAGCTGCTCATTTCTAGGGAATACCGTATTTCAAACGGTGTGACGCGTTCTGGGCAAGATTCGATAAAATAGCTCTATGGAAGAGTCCGCTAGATCTATGACGTAAAGTTATAATTTTTGTTCTTTATGATAAAATAAAGTAGACCTTTACATTGAATTAGACACTCAGTATATCACGTACCTTTAAAGCTTACATTTGTTTATCACTAAATGTGGAATATAGTGAACAACGTAAACGTGTATTTATGTACAAGAGATCATGTGTCTTAAATTAAAACTGCATACATCATCCGATGATTTCATTCTGTATGAATTTATCGTAAGAACGCGGTACGATCGGATCGCGAGCAGAATTTAAACGATTGAAAATCCATTCGTGACTTGTCTCTTAGCATATACTCGCGAATTGCATCTCGACATCACTGATATATTCATCAAATAAGAATTGTCAAACTTAAAAACAAATTATATTTTAATACAAGATAATTTTGTGTACTAATTAATAAGTTTAATCAATTTAAAGAGAGTATAAGAGGCTAAGGTCTAAGAGCGAGGAAGTGAGGTGGATAATTTTGAGATATTGTCATATGATTAATTTGATTTTTCAAAGTATAATAATTTTAGAAAAAAGAAACGACTGGAACTGAAATTTCTATGCTAATATGTTTCGTACAGTAATAATTAATTAATCAAATTAAATATATTATTTATCGAGGATCTTAAAAGAGATAGCAATAAAGAGCAGCTGCTGTATTTTTTATGAATCAAATTGTTGAGGTTCAAGAGCAAATAAAATTTCTACTAGATAAAGTCAAATTAACAGATAAATGTCTTCGTACGTCGAATACCGCTGCGAATCAGAGCCGGACAGTAATTGCTTCATGATTACTTTTGCACTCATCGCTCATGATTGTCAGATCAATCAATAATGATACACTTGTAGCATGCTATCATAAATCAGTTACCTGTAATCTTCCAGAGCTAATCATATCTACTTAATAATCAGATATTATGCATTAACCATTATTCATGATGACTGATTATTCATTCGTTGTTAATCGTTAATTATGATTACTCAGTAATCGTGATCATTGCATACATTTAGTCTAATAATGATACAGAGTAAGTATAAGTCGAATAAAGTCAACCGACCGTTCAAGGCTGTGTTATAGTCGGGTATCGGAGATATTAGCAAAAATATAAATAACCAGGATTATTTCGAAGGGATGTATCCACCCTTAAAATCATTTTTGGACCAAAATAGCCAAAATGGAAAATTTATACTACCTGCCATTTAGAATAGTGTAAATATAAATAAATATTCGAGTTAAATAAAAAATCTTAAGTAAAATAATTGATAAATGTGAAAGTTATAGCGGAATTACTAGGAAATCTCCTTTTCCTAAAAACGTCGACCTGTTAAGTGTTAAGAGTCCATGTACACCTACGATCGCCATGAAATCACCTGTGAGAGAGATCTTAATTTATTCACGATCATTACTATCGCTAATGTGTTCATTTGTTTATGATCGTTTTCAAGTCGTTCGTATTTTTTTTTGTAATTTACTATTCCATTGTTTGTTTTTCAGTTTCGTTACAAGATATACATATGAGAAAAGCGTTCAAGAGTTCAGTGGTGTTCGACCAGCAAGTTGTCTCCAGGGACACCATGCCAACTGCGATGATGGAGACCTACCATCAATGCGACACACCGCCTCCCCTTGATAAACTTAATGTTTACAGGTACTTGGTTTATTTTGTCCTAATAGGTATTAATTTCTTAATTTAAATCTAGGATTACTCTGTCAAGCTTAATCTATCAAGGTTGCCTGAGACCTAGCAGAATTAGACAGTGCCATTGAACACATCTACAAATTAATTAATTGGCTGGAATTAAGTGAATACTTAATGACTTGTGGAGCAACTAGGAGAAAAATTAATAATAATTTAGGTTGCTTATATTCGTAGTGAAATTAAAATTTAAGATCAATCTAGAATATTCATTATTAAAATATTAAGTTAATTCACAGTTAAAATATTAAAAATACCTGCACCGACATTATCATACAGTAACATTTTTATTTTATACAGTATTACCAAGCAATGTTTCATATTTTTATTAAAATACATTTTTCTATTGTTTTCAGGGAGGACGGTAAAGACGGGCTGAAGTTTTACACGGATCCCAATTACTTCTTCGAGCTGTGGAGTCAAGAAATGCTCAAGGACACAGAAAAGAAATTACACGATCGGGGGAAAAAGGTAAAAAAAAACGTTGTTCCTCCTGTATTTCTAAACGTGCACCTCGAATTATGTTCTTTTTTTTTTTTTTAAGTAGTCATAACAGAGAAGGCTGCTTTCGATTTAAACTATTATTTTTATATTTTTTTTTACGACTGTCTGTGAAATGTATTATTCTATACACCAGTGTTTCTCAAACTGGGGCTCGCGGATCCTTAGGGATTCGTGAATGATTTTCTTAATACTTTACAATAAGTAATTACCAAATAGTGCTAAATAAGTCTTCAAAAAGATTTATGCGAAGTACACAATGTTTAAATAAAAAAATATGATGCTATAAAAATTAAACAAGAAGGTATTTTATTACTTAAATATAATTTTTCAAAAAACCGTATTAAAATTTATGTAATAAATAGTTTCATTTTGCTCGGAGAAAGTTCATTACAAGTTTTTCTTCATCGAGGATGGTCTGCGGATGCTTGACGATTCGTAAATAATTTTCTTAATCTCTTCAATAAGGAAACTTGGAATTCTGAAAATCCATCCATGCTCGGAATGTATTTAATGATAATTTTATTGTACCCAGAGGTGAGGGGATCCACCACAAGTCTTCCCTTTAATCGAGGTGGTCCGCGGCGTAGCAAAGTTTGAGAAACACTGCTACACACGATTATCTAAAACTAAAACATTACCGAGGTGCGCAGTATCACGATACAATAACACATCTTTTTTTTTTTTGTGTGTTTTTTTCCTTTGAATACTTCTAAGTTTATGCGACGATTCTAACAATTGAAACTGTCCCCTTCCGTTATAGACCGAGTCTGAATATGCCGAACCGTTCAGAGAGGCAAGTCGATGGTTTGGATCTTTGTAGTTTTTTATTACCCTTACCCAGTTTTAATGAACTATCGATCAACAACCACTCACTCATACATAATCAATGCTCACTTCTTTGTGGTTTTTCATTAACCGACCTTTATTGCGCTGATAGAGATTGCGCTAGATGCTCGCTTGACAATTTTTGTAGTCACTTATGCTAGGATTAGCCAACGACATTCCATTCTTCAATGTTCGTCTTTGGCGAAGGGTTTCGTTGCGTAGACCGAATGCGAGATTGTATCAATCATAGATATGGGAAAAATTCTTATTTCGAATAATTAATACAAGATAAACAATTTCTCCATTTCTTTTTCGTTGAATCAAAATTGGACTTCGAATTGTAGAAGTATATATCTTATAGTAAACGAATGAGGATCTAACTGGTACACTCTTTTTTTCTCTATGTCAGTAACAAGCTTATATTTTTTCTCTTGTTTCATGTATTTTTTAGTAAAGTGTAATGAAATTCCTGAGTTCCATTTTACTTTGGATTATTTAAAAATATAACCGATAAATAAAATTAACTTCACGAATTAATGTTTATACGTTTGATTTTAGTCTTCATCTAAATAAAATTGGAATAAAATTTTTAAAAAGTGTTAAAATTTACTTATATTTATTCAACGGTCTCTACTACGTTCTCTTAATGCTGGAGAATCATTGCGATCCGGTTGACCTTTGAATTCTAGAATAGTTTAGACGCGATTCGATCTACGCAGAAGCGCCCTTTTGACTCGAACCCTTTTTTTGTAAACGAGTTGTTTCCGAACTCAACTAGTTTTGTCTTATTACCGTCACTATTGTCGATCACTTTGTAATGCCGTTTTGTGCCAGTCATGCAACCGTTTGATGTACTCAATAGAAGTTTCTCATCATCATTCACGAGCCATCCTAACAGTTGATGCGATACCTTCACGATCTTGGATCATTTCAGGATTATTTTGTTTCCGATTTCTCATGTTTCACACGTAGGAAATAAAATTGCCAACGTCGAAATCTTTAACCGTTGAATCCGACGAATGACAGACACGTCATCCTCGCCAAATATTCTGGACGAACTTCTTTTATTTCCTACGAACATTTCATGTTCGGTGGTTGATCTTGGTTCCGTTAAACTTTGAAACCGAATGATTTCATCGTTTGGCGACGGTAATCGAATTTGTTGGATTCATTCTCGTCAAGTAATTTCATGATCGGTCATGTTCATTAACCCTTTCTGTCTTGAATTATTTTTACGAAGAAAAATATTTTACATGAAAATATGAAGTGCATTAATGCAACAAATTTATTGAAAACTAATCGAAAAGCACAGATATTATGGGATATCATTTGGCATCGTTTGGGAAATTTTATAAATAACATCGGAAGTTTTGAATTTTATCAAAGTTGTAAATATTAATGAAACTATTGAAATGTCCCTTATTGAAATAAAATATGTTCTCTAAGTTGTTTTCTGTATTTGCTTGTGTTATCCACAAAGTTATACCTAAACATGGAAGCATAAAATTAAAAAAAAATATGTATAACGGAAGAATATGTTACCATAGAATACCACTTAGTTTCCCAATATGAATTGAATCTAAAAATAAAATATAATCAGTACATGTACAATGTACATATACTGATGCAAAGCAAGTAATTTCAGTGGCATCCTATTTTCAGTTATTATAATAACTCAACTAACATTTGTTGGTAATAATATTACTTAAGTTGCCAAATGTTTACACATATCTTCACACATTAATATCGTGAAATATAGTTATTTAGAAATTTATATGTGAAATTGCGAGATTTAACGTCCGCGATTACCTATGCCATACTGAATTATTTGTACAGAAAGGGTTAAATTAATATTCGAGAAACAATCATCTAGTCCCCACGAACATCCCAAAGCCTTCGAGAATTCGTCGAGCACTCACACGCGTCCAATAGCAACGAAAGCATGAAATATATCTGTACGACACTTTGCATTATGAAAGAGTATGGATCAACCATCGAGTCATGCTTGATTGATGAAATTAAGCTTGTCTTGCACCTCTGCCGCGACACACAAGCTAAGCAATGATTTAATAAAGGATATTTTTGCGTCACAGCCGCACAGGCCTCGGAACGAGGGTGGTGGTGGAGGTGGCGGCAGACACAAGAAGCGTATAAGGCAACCGCATAATACAAGAGAAAGGCAGAGACAGTTAGCCGTCGGTCATGGCGAGTACATTATGCCAACGCAAGGTGTTCAATACAGGGCACCTCACGGTATACCTGACGAATCGTTGCTGGGTATGGTGATGACTGAACCACGGCCACCCAGGCCGAACAGCATCGAACTTAGACGAAGTTATCCGCCCGAGGAGCAACACTTGTACAGTCCACCTTCTTCTGATCATTATAGGTTTGTAACTCTATGCGACGTTTCCTTTAAAATGTACTTGAGATAGCCACGAGCAATGTCTTGTTAAGAATTGTAGAGTAGAAGCACCAAAGGTACCGACAAGAGGACGACTTTCAACCTATCTTCTTTCAATTTTACTTTACACCCGCAAAATGGTTCATCGCAGATTCTTGTTGCTATCTGTATAATACTAATACCTTCACTACCGACTTATTTAGAAAGAGCCTACACCTTAAAAGAGGACTCTCTATGTTTATTCAAAGTTGTTAGCCAAGTTGTTTTCTGATACAATTTCTTTGTAGTCTTGTAAACACATTTTCATTGTGTTGCCCATGATAGCAACATAATGACTAGAAGGGTCTGTATTGAACCATTCTGCACACGGAAGTTAAAATGAGAGGATAGGTTAAATTCTTCAGTTGTAGGTAATAAAGGCATTTTTCTCAATAAGATTTTTTACAAATAAACATAACAATAAAATGACTTTTTTTTTGGAAATAAGATGATTAATTGTATATACTTATAAAGAGACCTTGCACTCAAATGATGAAAAAGAGGAATAATAATTTATGATACTTCTCCTAAAACAGAGCAGGCAATTACGTGGCCCAGGGTTATGAAGACAGTTTGTACGGCTCACACTATGGCACGAGCCAAGGACAAGCGGGTAGCGAGACGTACCAGAGTCCTGGTGGTCAAAGTACCCCAAGCAGAAGTGGTAGGTCACGTCCCTCTCAACCACCACCAGCTCCACCAAGTAATACATCTAGCAATTCAACGCCCACTGTAGCCTCTGCTAACAATACACCAACGCGGGGAAGGTCAATGAGTACGAGCAGGGACACGCTTCCACCACCACCTCCGCCGCCTGGTGAAACTATGTCTCCACCTCCTATGAATGGTAATTCCAACATCAAAATTTCTATTCGAATATTTTCATCCATAATTAAATTTAAAAAATATAGCTTACTCTTCGTTCAGTAAATGTATTACATTGAGGGAAGGTAACTACTCTTTCCTTGTTAGTATCGTAGAACGACAAAAGTTACAGACAATCTATTTAAAATGAGAAGATATTGAAATAGTCTGAACAATTATTAATTGTGTAATCCCGTAAGCAATACTTAAGTTTAATTTTAAATATCGTCTGGAATTCTCGTTGTTCGAAAATACCAACAATGAAGGAATATATCTATATTTATATTTTCGATTAATTGATCCATTGTTACGGTTTCAGGTTCTATACCATCACACCTATTGAATAGGAATGGAAGTCGTTCAAACAGTCCGTTACCCAGTCATCACTCCACTCCCACACCACCAAATCATTCTACTCAAATCGGACAGGATGAAACCGATCCCGCTCCGCAAGATTTACCGCCACCACCCCCAACTCCTGATCCCACACCGCCCAGACCTATTTCACCACCTTGTAACATTCCACCCCCTCCACCACCACCTCCGCCACCGCCTGTTGCGAATGGACCCACGCCACCGTTGCCCCTAACCAACGGCGATATTGCTAAAATGATAGCGACTAATCCACCGAAGCTGAAACCCCTGAAACCTTTGAAGAATATGGACGGGCAATTGAGGAAGCCCGTTAATCCAAATATCCCCCTTGTCGATCCACGAAACGATCTACTTAAAGCAATTAGAGACGGTAATTATTCTATCATTCAGTTCATCGATGTTAACCCTTTGCGGTCCGTCCGGATCTCGACGTAGCCCACTGCCAAGAGTAATTTGTTTTGGAAGTCGAATGTTTACAGTATAATTATTAGGATGACCCTGGAAAAATAATGTTTTGGAAAATACAATCAACCTTTTGTGCTGGAATGACATGCTATACAATATGACCTAATCTATAATCGGTTATCTTCAGACAAAAATAAATAAAAAATCTAAAGAATACTTCTTTTCGAAATTTCGACTGGATGTTGTAGAACAAAGTTTACAAGCTGTTTGTATCCCTAAATTAAATGTTCGCATTAAACATGCAAATGATGTCTGGTTAATAAAAAAGTCGATTGTTCATCTAAGCAAATTAAAATTGTTAAAGTGAATATCTGACGAGTTTAGCAGTCGAGAATATACTGTGTATTTTTTCAGGTATAAAGTTGCGCAAGGTGGAGAAAATCGAGCAAAAGGAAGTGGAACGCGTGAATGCATTGAACGATGTCGCGTCCATATTAGCACGACGTGTTGCCGTAGAGTTCAGCGACAGCGATTCAGCGTCTGAGAGCGAGTGCGACAGCGAAGGATGGGGCGAGCAGGAGACAAATCTCGCGTGACCAACCTCGCTTCCATCCACCGCCACTGCCACCTAGAAAAATGGCCGATAAATTTTTCTTTGTTCTTTCTTTCATTCTATATTTCGTTTGAAAACCTCGACTTTTGTTGCATGTCGCACAAGTCACAAATATTTTCTCGTGGAAACCTGCTGAATAGACAAATTTGTTCTAAATATTTTACGTGCGCGGAGGCGGTGTCGGATTTGAAAGTAGAAGCGGAATTAACGAGTTTCGTTGCTCGGTTGTTCGCGTTAAGTTGTTTTTAGTACAGAGAGCGTATAAATGCAGGAACCATTACTATAAGTAGTACCATTAAAAGTATAAATGTAATTCACAACAACGATTATTTTATTACACCATTTCATCACCTTTAACATGGTTTATTTTTTCTTTTGTTACGAACGGAGAATATTTAAAATAATTTTCTGTGTCAAATATGTTGAGGAACGTGTTTTTTTTTTTTTTTTTTTTTTTTTTTATTTTAACCGCAGGCTCAATTCGATAGCGTGTATGTAACTGAAAGGTATTATATGGAAATATTTAACATCTCTCGGACGATTCTAGAAATCGTCAGCCAGAAATCCTTTATTATTTATTGCAGTTATTAAGATCTAATTAAAAAGAAAAAAGAAAAAAAAGAAGCTATCGAGGAGTAATAGTAGACTATAATAAGGAGAGAGAGAGAGAGTCTACAAAGCATGATAAACATTTAAGTTCATGTAAATTTAGAATATTTCCGAAACACGGACACGTACACATTTTTTCCTATACCGCGAACACCTCTGGTTTTTGTTTCATTGTTAAAAATAAAAGCATAACAAATTTATGACATAGATGTAACTACATGTCTTTCCGATTCTCTGATTTTTAAGCAGAACTCAACGAAGGTAAAGAAGATTATAGAATAGTAAAAAACATGCTGATAAGAAGAAGGTACGCACATGAAAGCAGGCGTTGACCTCCTATCATTGCTCGATGTCGGTTGTAACGGAAGTGTTTCCTTATCGGCACATTCCATGCTAATACTAATACCATATAACGAAATAAACCTTATCCTCCGGTTTGAGCACTTAGTCATTCACTTACTGACCATATACACGGGGACGATTCTATATTTATAAATTTCTTAGCTATTTTCATTAATGAAACTCACCTTATTTCTATTACTCAATTATTTCCTTATCTCCTTATTTCTACCTTACTCAATCGGTTTACACTTGAAAGCTTCAGTTACTATCAACCATGAAGAACCGAGGTGTAAAAGCCTCAAATATCCTAGAGTTTACTGTCGTCTAACTATGTGTATGGTTGGTAGTGTCTTTAGTTAAAAACGAGTGCTCTATGTATATATACAGTGTACGTGAGAATGTGTATCGTACGCGAACTAAGTCAAATCGCGGAGTTGATATTTTTTTTCCTCCTTCTCGTGTTTAAGTCTGTAAAATACTTGTATCTTAAATGTTTTTGTATGCTTGACGAATAGGTAGGTACGCGCATTCTGCCACGGCGAGAGTAACGGCAGATGTTTTCCGATCTTTTCTACGTTTCCAAGTGATCTTCCATGTCGCAGGTGACTCGCGATATCGTAGAGAACAAAGGTTCTTACCAGCGAAGTGTCGAAAACCAAAATAATACTCCGTTTACTTGTAAGATGTAAGGGGAATGTAATTACCGAACGAGTGAGAGGACTCAATATTTTTTAGCGTTTAGAGGAAGAAAAAACTTAATATAGCGGGATATACTATTGTTACGGTGAGGATTACAGTTGCCAATTTTAAGCAGAAAGGATAATGATTGTGATTTATTTTGCATCGATGTTGCAGAGGTATGATGAATATTGCTATGATATGTCATGTGTATGCATCACCATTCTATATACAGAGTGTTCTGGCAATGGTGGTACAATCGGGTAGCGGACGATTCCTAATAAAAAAATAAATCGGAAGCGAATAAAGAAAATTTTCCAAAAATTGTATTCTGCACTTTTCATTTATTTTTTTCATGAGAAATTACCAACTAGTCTGTTGCGTCCTCGTTGCCAGAATACTTTTTGTATAAATACATACATACGATACATATGTTGTATATGTTGTAAACAATGTGTCATATATCTTGATCAACTTAATACCATCATTGCTTTCATATTATAATTGCAATATTATTAATCATATTATGACTTTCCAAGGTTATTTCTTTTTTTTAAATGTTAAGCTCACTAGATATTTTGTTTTTCGTAAAAATGTGTAGTACAGCTCAATAAAATTCTCAACTCAAGGATAAATATTAAGGATAAAATAGATATTGAAAATTTGATATATCAATATTTTGATGTAATTTATATTCGTGTAGACGATCGTTTAATTATATTACGCACAACATAAGCTCCTCTATAACATGTTGACCACTGGATCATTAAACATCTCTATTATGTACATACATGTACATGAATACTTGTGAAGTTAAAGTATAGTCTGAATACGTTTGTGTGTAAGAGGTAAGGTACGCTATTCTATTGAATCAAACAGTGTCTTCCTTACACATATTTCTGCATACTCAAATGAAGATATTAAGATAACCAAGATATACGAAGCACTTTGTGTATACATATTCAGGGTGTTTGATAGATTCTGTACAAACTTCTTAACATGTTTAATGCCTACTATGATGATAAAAAGGTTATACAAGTATACTTCTTAGAATGTTTTGTTAGGAAATTCGTTTTGTTAAAGACACTGATTATCATTTCGTTTGAAGTTCATATTTATGTTGTACATACTACTTGACACTCTGTAACTTAGTATGACTCTGAATATAAACACCATTGTACGTGTCCATATTTCAAACACTTTTTTAACAATTATTAGCTTCAGTTTGACCCATCGTAAGTGATACTTGAAAGATGAGTAACCATAAGGTTCTATTTACTAAAACTTATCTTTGAATTAATATACCAGTATCAATATTCCTAAGTATCCTGTTATATAATTTTTCAAACGTCATTATAATATGAAATACAGAAGCACTTACGTTTATATGCTTCGTCTCGTTTGTAGTCGTAGAATCCGTTAATCAAGTTTGTATGGAAATCCGTGGCATATCCAGTACATGTACGTATTGCTCGTTAAGATTATTGTATAATCTTATGTGTTCGATTCACAAGAATTGTTCAGGAGGTCTGTTTTTCGCCTCTCTCGTTTTAGAACGTTAACTAGATGTTCGTGAAACAGGGCGAGCTTATATTCGTCCCTTATGGGCGAAATTTAGGCGATCCGCCCTCTCGTTGGTTGGTTGAATTAGCATATTTCTTTTAAATGCGAAAGAAGTTCGATTGATTCGAATCGCGCGAATTGTAATTTATATTTAATAATAATTCATTTTTCGCTGACGTTCGAGGTCGGCGTTTTATCTTGTATAAAATATGTTACGAAGATCGAGGCGAAAGATTGCGGGGCAAATCGCTCTGTGTAGGATACGTTTCATCGGCAACGACGCGTGTACATTCACATGGTTTTAAAATATAGTCAAAACGCTATTATAACGTAACATGTAATAAGAATTCATTGATCAGTCTCGTCTGTACTGTGTTTATACATATACATATATAAATATATATACATATACATAAAACCATATATGTGTATATATGAATGCAAGGCGAGGTATTTTAAGCAGGCCGCTTGATTAATTTGCTGACTTTTAGCGATAAAAAGGAATGGTGGACACGATCCGGTGTTAATATATTTTTTGTTGAAAGAGATGTAGAGGAAATGCAAAAGTTCATATTTATGTTGTACTATTTGACCCTCTGTAACTTAATATGACTCCTCCGTATATGTGTCTATATTTCAATACATTCCAATATAGACACATACATGTTAACTTTGTTGTTTTTTTATATACCTTCTAGTGGAGAGTTTTAAGCAAGGTACAATAACCTACAGTTAACACCATTACATGATATGTCTAATTATGTGTAACTCGATAAAAGTAATTCCTGTGTTCATTGAGGATTTACACACAGTATTTTTTTATAGAGACGTCTAATGGGTCCCACAGAGTCAGCCATTTGTTATTTAGAGTGGATATTCATGAATTCGTGAAGATATAAATAATTAAAAAATTTCTTTTTTCAAATGTATAATGAAATTTATACAACGTGCTCAAATGTTGATTACATTATACGATCTAGCCATTACAAGCCATCTCGAAACCAAGCAAGTTTGCATTCTTTTCCATCACAGAAAGTAGGCGAATTGAACAGGTGGCTAATTCTGTATGCCTCACCCTGTATAATACAATTCGCAGTATGAATTCGTTAGATTGTAAGGATTACGAGCGGTAGGAATACTTTCTAGCCACTTCGCCAACTACGACACAGTATTTATCGATGATTTTTGTAACGCGACGAAACTGGGGAAGCGTTTCAGATCGCAAAAGCTTGAATATCGTGCAAGTTTGTATGAATGTATTATATCATCGTCGACCGTGCTTACCGCGAGATATCGCGTGCTAAATTATTGCGAAGCTATTGTACCTAAATAAAACGGATATTCCAAAGCTTAATTACCGTGAAGCGTTCTTTTCGTCCTCCTTCAACATTGGCGAGGTCGCGATGATCGTTTCGTGCGTTTCCTGTTTCTATTACGAACCACGTTACTCGCTCAGCTCAGACGTTGAATTTCCGCAGGTGCAAAACAAAAAAAAATGATAAATGTAAGGATGTCGGCAACGACGGGCGACGAAAATTTGTTCAATAACGATAATAAAAGAAATGTCAGCGCATGTCGGACAAAGACGCAAATGTAATAGCTCTACCGATGATTACAAATGTACGACGGTATTATTAATAATAATAAATTTGTAGCAAATCTGTACAGAGCCAAATAAATCAAAAACTTTCATAAACCATCGAAGGATACCCGATTGAGCTGTTTATTATTTCCTACTATGTAAGTTTCAAATACTGGCTTGAATTTTATATTTTGGTATCAAGAGAACATGATATGCGAAGAGGTGGCAGGTTTGCGCCTGGGAGCAGGCAACCGGCCCGACATATCTGTAAGACTAGGTTACTTAATACAAGGGGCACATTTTCGGTACATATCGGAATTCTCGCCCGATTTCACATTTTGGTATCAGGAGTACAGGATATGCGAACAGGTGGCACATTCTGTATCTGATTTTATAAATTTGCTCAACTAGTTCTTGTCTTGAAGCTTTGGTATATTCTTATTATTGAACTTTTACTTTGAAAATTTTCTTTTTAATCATATCTCTCCCAGTCTAAACGTATAGAATTGTAGACTCGTCGTTGAAAGTCGAGACAAATGTTTTCGTTGCGCCCTGTTCAAATTGCTAAAAACATTCGTGCAATATAAAATGGTAGACAGATATAATAAAATCAACATTTTATTTTGAAAAATTGAGACATACACAGATGCGAAAACAATGGTAGCACATTGGTAGCACCGATACATAGACGTTGAAACGAATTAACGTTAGGTTTTAGAGTGACTACGCGCGGGCTAATAATAATCACGCTCCTTCAATCGAGCGGTCGATTAGCAACGACAGGAATCGATTTATCATCGATCCCGGTAAAAAGAAATTCTCGCGAGCTTTTCCTCCGCGTTGCAAGATACTTGGCCGTAACAGCAATTTTATTATTATTATTTTTTGTATCATTCTTTTTGATGAATGAAAAGCACTTTTTCTCGCACTCGTTATGTCTTTTTCGTAAAAGGCAAGAAACCGAATGAACAAGAGCGCGTTTCTCTGCTCCAGTCAATCGTTACGACAATATACATATATATATATATTATATCTAAATTGGAAAGGGTATATAGAAATACGCGTATCGATCCGCGATTCAAACTTTTTTCCTTCGTGTTTCTTGAAAAAAAGACAAGAATCGTTTAACACGTCAAACGCCAAGCTTATTTTACTTGATATTCTGTTTACGCTATACTCTACCGTCAAATAACAAGGAATAGAAAATGCCTTGTACAAAACACAGACAAAGTTGGTTGAAACTCTCACACAAGACATTGGTGTAAAGTAGGAAAAAAATGAGATGGCGCGCATAACATTAGGAAATTCTGCGCTGAATGTTATGATATATGGTCCTTGAAGAGAGAATAATATAACCAAAAATGTTACAAGCTTTTACAAGTACCGGCACGGCGGTGTAGCATAAACAGAATGTTTCGATCCGTAGAAACCGAGTTGGACTAAATGGAAAGCGTAACGCGACGTTTGACGTGTTAACTATATTAATTACGTGATCGCATCCTATCCTGCCGCTTAAATAAAATTTTCACCTCATTATACTCCGCTTTTATTAATAATAATGTCTTTTTTTAGACAAATGATAATTTGCCTTCTTCATTTTAATGATACGCCATATTAAATGACTTTAGAAATATATCAGACGCGCAATTGAAATCTTACTCTCGACACGTCTCTGATACAGACAGGTAAAAGGAACTATCGAGAACATGACGGACTAACTTTCGTGGCCTCTGTGTAGCATTAATATAGTCTATCGGTATAGTAAATCAATGTAGCTTACAATTAGTCGAAGGATCAAAGAACAGTAATGCAACGAAGAACTGTCACAACGGACCAATGAACTGGGATTATTTAAGAAAAACTGGCCGTTGAGTCACACTTCTCACACAATGATGGTAGAAGTATATAAATGAGTAGATAAAACGTGGAATTATTGAGCATTATATTGTGTTCAACCTTAGGTACAGTAACAATGACCGACTTTGTTCTTATTCAAATCATGGGATACCAATGATAACAATATTAACAACCTTCCTAGGGTTTGACGTTCTGATGCTAAATCAGACTTCAACTATCCGTGATATCTTTGCTAGCAAACGGTACGTAATACAGTTTACAGCTGGACCCATGAATTGGCGCTTCTTGCTGTGCGTAATTGCTTATGCCAGAGAAAAGCTGA